AGTGGGCTTCAAGTCCGCCAGACTGCCCTGAGCCCGAGTGGGTCGCGGGCCCAACATGGAGCAACTAGGCGGGCTGGCAACCTACCTGCAAGTGCCTTGCAGGTGGGTTTCAACCACCTTGCGCATGAGGCATGTCACAGCGATCACTGCAGCAGAGATTGTTGTTGCGATTTTTTTTAAAGGGGATTTTGCCTGGCTTCGTGCCGCGGGACCCTCAGAGATCGATCTGGCTCCAGATGGGGTCTAGGGTTCCGGTCGTGATTTTTCGCATGTTCTTGCAAAGTCAGATCTGAGGGGAGGGGGCGCAGACATGGATTTCATGGCGTGCGGATTATAACGACGGGCCCCGCTGCCAGACAGAAGCGGCGCGCTCCGTCGCCAAAGCGGCGCACCGACCTCCCTCTTCGGGTGGTGGTCCTCCCGTTCCGTGGATCTGGCGCCCGCGCGCCAGATCCACGGGTCCGTAATCCACGCCAGCAGTTGCCCGATACTGATGATTTGAGCGGCTGCTGGCCAGTGCCGCCGATCCGGGGCGCTCGTGCCCCCAGGGGGGGGGCGCCCGGGGGGGGGGGGGGGTCCTGAGTGGGGCCCTGGCCACAGTCCCTGGGACCCTCCCCCCCATCCTTGGGCAGGGCAAGCCGATAGTAAAATGGGCCCCCTGGGGGTGCGGGGGGGAGATTGGTACACGGCCCGCCCCCCCCCCTCTCCCCCCCTTCCCGGGCAGAGCCACCACAGCATCACCCCCGGCAAAGCGGAGCTGAGGCTCGGGCTCTTTTTCACCGAGCGCGTTCCACTACTCGCAAAGCGTCTCTACTCGCAAACGTCCGAACACACACGTGTCTTCCGATTCCGCAGAAGAGCGCACATCCGCCGCAGCAGATTCGGGCCATTTGCGAGTAGCTACTTTGCGAGCGGTGGAACGCGCCTGTCGAAGTCCTTTTATAAACTCGCACGCCGGATCGGCGGACCTCCGCCCGCGCGCTCACCGGCAGAACTCTCTTCGGCCGCCCTCGCGGTCGCGGACCTCCTGCGGGGCCGCAGGGCGCGTCCTGGGCCTCCGGCCGGCCTTCCCGCCTCGCGCGGGGGGGGGTCACAAGGGCGCGGCGCTCGCGGGCAGGGGAGGAGGGCGAGGGGGGGGCGGAGGAGAAGGAGGAGAAGGGGGGGGGAGGAGGTTCGAGGATCGAGGATCAGTGAATTGGGACTGGTCCCAGCTGGTTGGGATTGTCCCCAGCAGGTTGGGAGTGGTCCCAGCTGGTCGGGATTGGTCCCAGCTGGTTGGGATTTGTCCCAGCTGGAGGGTTGGAAGAGGAAGCGCTCTAAACCACTAACGCCCTGAAGGGCTGGTGGGACTAGCTCGGTCCCCATCGACCGCAGCCCACTCAAGGGTGCGAGAAAAGAAAAAGAGGCGGGACACCCACGGCAGCCGCAGAGGAGCGGACAGATGCCCACCTGGAGGGGCAAACAGCGAGCGGAGCGAGCACAACGGAAAACCAAACGCAGGCACATTTGCACACACACACACACACACACACACACACACACACACACACACTTGTTTTTGTTGTTTCCGTCGGCGGCGAGGCAGAGGTAAGTTGCACCAGCGGTCAAGTAGTTCGGGGCGACCGAAGAGCGAATTGCCCAGCATGCAAGAGGAGAGACACACAAGCACGTACACACACACACACACACATTCGCACGCACAAACACACACACACACACACACACACACGTACACACACACACACACACACACACACACACACGCAAGCACAAACACAAGCACACAAACACACAAGAAGACATACTGTAATATACGGAGGCCGGCTGATGCACTTCGTGATCTCGGCGTCCGGGGCAGGCGTTGTCGGGCCCCCAGGGCCGCCGAACAAAAAAAACAATGGAAAAGCAGCCTCGGCGGGGATTTATTGGCGAGCTCCAGCGCTCACGGCGTGAAGGAGGAGGAGGAGGAGGACGGAGGAGGAGGAGGAGGAGGAGGAGGAGGAGGAGGAGGAGGAGGAGGGAGGAGGAGGAGGACTCCCCCCACACCCCCAGTCGATCCAGAGCACGTGCGAGAACCAGCGCCGATCCGATCCGCCCGACCACGGGGGACTTGGGACCAGGGCGGGTGTTCGCACCTGGGGCCCCAAACGGCCTGGACCAAGGGAGGGAACCCACCCGAACCCGACAGCTGGCGTTCACCCAACGGCCCTGTGCGTTTACTGAGCAACCCTGCCCTGTTCGATTCCTTCTGCGGGGTGCGTCGCCTGAACGGCTTCGCGTGTCGGGGTGATTCATCATGAGGGTGGATTTTCTGGTCTCTACCGGAGGAGAGGGCGGGGGTCAGCTGAAGTCGGATCCGATAACCAAGTTCTTGCTTCAAGGACCGCCACCGCGCCAGCTCAAAGCACTCTGCGCACCGATCCTCCCGCAGAAGCCGAGCGTGTGCCGTACCATGCGGCGGCTCGCTTCCCCCTGGTGGGGGGCCGCGCTGGCACCGGTCAGGAAAATAGAGCAGTAGGAGAAGGAGGAGACGGGGGAAAGAAGGAGAGAGGGGCGGTCGAAGAACAGAAAACGGCACAAACATGAACTGTTGGCGCCCCGCGCGGGATGTCTTGCAAAAGCTGATGTTCATGCCGTTTTTCTCTTCATAGAGAGGGAGGAGGCGTGGGAAAGCAGGAGAGAGGGGAAGGTGGAGTGCTCAGGCTTCGGGCTGCGCACGGACCTCGCCGCCCCCCCCCGCCCCCGGCAGTCCCTGCTGGCCTCCGTAGGCCGCCCGAGCAGTCTGGGGCGGTCCCCAGGAGTCCGGCGCCACCGTCGCCGCACGGGCTGAGGCGTTGAGCCCGCCCTGGGCTGCTCGGGGGGTCTGTCGAGGCAGGCTGGGGCCAACCTGGGGGCGGCGGCCGTCTGTCCGCCACCCGCGGCCCCACCAAGGTGGGGGGGGGGCCAGGTTCCGCAATGAGCCATCGAGGGCCACAGGGCGGGACCTCTCGGGCCGCGGCCGTCAGCAGACAGCCACAGAAACGCATGGGTGCGAGCAGCCCCTCTGGAGGCGGAGACAGCCGGCGCGATGGCTTCACGACGCGAGGGGGCCAGGGGAGGCCTGGTCGGGCGGGACCAGGACCAGGAGAACTCGTTCCAGAGCGCTCTCGGACGATCTCAACACGCTCCGGAGCGCTCGGAAGCGGCCGCGGTGCCCGAGACGTCCTGCAGGCGCGCCGCATTTCAAAGATCCTCGATGTGTCCCAGTCCGATGTCGTCCCGGTCCTGGCTTCCTCTGATCGGCGTCGTCGTCTTCCCTCCCCCTTGCTCACCCGCCGCGCCCCCGCCGGGGCCGGAGCGGGGAGGCCGTGCGGCGAGCGCGCGCTGGCATGTCGGGGCCGAACCGCCCGGTCCGGCGGCTTAGCGCCGGCAGGGTGCCGAGGGAGGACGAGGACCGCGGTGTTCGACCAGACGTAAGAGTGACCTCTCGCCGGAGTGACCTTTGGTGCAGGCCCAATGGGGTCCCCCGATCGCCGAGGCGGCAGCGGCGTCTTGCGCGCTCACGTTTGGCCCCCTCACGGGCCCCAGAAAGCCGCGCACCAGAGGTCACTCTTACACAGGGTTATGATGCTCCAACCTACTTTAGCTTTGATCACCAGAAAGAATATCGGCCGCCAAAAAAAGTACCGAAACTCAAGGGTTTTCACGTGTCGGGCCCTGGGAGACACTCGCCCGACACTGTCTCGACACTGTTTCGACACTCTTTTGACACCTTGCCGGGTGCTCGAGATTATTTCTGGGATGCGGTCCTTGAGTAGGATGGGAACCACATAGGCCCAGGGCCACTCTTGCGTGCAGTCGAGGTGTAAGAGGGACGACATAAGCAGAAGTTGTCTGAGGTCTGCGCGGGCCTCCCGGGTCGGCGCGGGGCCCCCCCGTGGCGCCGCCGCCCCTGGCGCGCTCCGCGCGCGCCAGGGATGGGGGGGGTCCCAGCGCCGACTCCTGGAAATCCGCACGGACCTCCAACAAGAATGTATGGGTGTTTTTTTTGTTTTCCCCGCGCAGTGCTTACGATCGGGTTTTCGTGTTTTCGGTTGCCACGGAATCGGGATGGGTCCGGAGAGGTTTCCCCACGTTGCCGCCCGTTGCCGCCTCGTTGCCGCCTCGTGCGCAGGGTGGGCCAGGTGAGGTTTCGCCACGTTGCCGCCAGTTGTTGTTTCGTTGCTGCCTCTAGCTTGCTCCGCGTATACTACACCACATAACTTACACCACTTAGTTTGCACCACATAGCTTACTCGGCCATTATGCACTAAGTTATTGTTTGGGGTCCACGCTGGCAAACATTTGATCTTCTAGAGGAGGAGGAGGACTAGAGGAGGAGGACTAGAGGAGGAGGACTAGAGGAGGAGGAGGTGGAGGAGGAGGTGGAGGAGGAGGAAGAGGAGGAGATGGCAAGCAGGGGCCCCCTGCGCACGCGTCGGGCGCCGCCGGCCACGCACTCTGGCCCCGGGGAAGGTGCCCCCGCGGGCTGAGCGCCAGGTGGCCCACCCTCGGACAGTATGGGTACCCGCGCTGGGTGGTGAATTCGGGCGGGCGTCCCGCCTGCGGCCAGCCCTATGATTGTGGAGGGAAGGAAGAAAGAAAGGAAGGAAGGAAGGGAGGAGGAAGAGGAGGTAGGAGGTGGATGGGAGGTAGGAGGAGGTAGGAGAAGGAGGGAGGAGGAAGAGGAGGAGGAGGAGCCAGGATGCGGTGCGGAGCCTGGGGGTGGATCCTGATCGTGGACCCGGCGCCCTCTCGAGCGCCAGCCCGCAGCTGCGCAGGAAGCCCCTGAGCAGGCAGCAGCCGCACGAGGAGGACGAGGAGGTAGGGAGGGAGGGACAGGGGCCCAGGAGGGAAGGGGACCATGAGGAGGAGAGAGGAGGAGGAGGCGGAAGAGGAGGAGGACCCTGAGATCCTGGCGTCGCAATTCTCGCCACGCCGGGCGTTCCCGCCAGGTTTCGGGCCCCGGGACCATTCACGGCTCGATCCCGCTCGGAAACTGCAGCAGAAAGATGGGGTTAAGGACTCCAGCTGCGATTTCCCGCGATGTTGCAAGTTCCTCGAAACACCGGATCTCAGGGGGGGCAGCCAGAGGTTCGGTGATCGAGGTATCTTGGTCCCCATGGGGGCATCTGAGGAATGGCAGGAGGGCATAGAAGGATGAGAAGGAGGAGGAGGAGGAGCAGGAGGAGGAGGAGGTTCGAAGAGGATGAGGAGAAGGTTCGAGGAGGAGGAGGAGGAGGAGGAGGAAGAAAAGGAGTAGGATGGGAAGGAGGTGGAGGTTGGAGGATCGAGGCGTTTCATCCTTTTGGGGTCTGCTGAGGGGGACAGCGCCGCTGAAGAGCATGCGCAGGCGGCACCTGCGGCCCTGGCCCAGGTGCCGGTGCCGCGCCTGCAGCGGCAAGACCTGAACTTGAGGCGGCAGTTGAGCCGTTGCCGCCGCTTCACCAGGGCACGGAGCGTGGCGTGCTCCCCGATCGTGGATGGTGGGAGCGCCTCCCACGGGCCGCGGTCGTCCGCAGCGGCACCCCAGGCTGAGTGCAGGTGCCGGGTCGGCTCCAGGGCGCGTTCGTGACTGCCCGCCTCAGCATTCATCGTCGATCCCCCGGAAAGGATGGGAAGATATGGGAAGTGTGGGGGGGGGAAGACGTGAACCCCAGAAATATGGTAAAAAATGTGGGCTCTTGGGATTTGTGTCTACTTCTTGGTGTGTCCCAGGGCCCCTTCACGAAGGCAGCGCGCCCGCACAGAGCGCGGGGCGGAGCAAGCGGAGCCCACCAGCAGCCCTCATGGTCCTGACGTGTGAGTTCCCCTATTACCAGACATGATCGGGGGGCCCTCGTCGGGCCTCGGGACCGTCAAACAACGATTCTGGACATGTCTGGGAAGGGAAGACGGGGGATGCGGAGGCGGCGGGGGCGGCGGCACGCAAGGGGAAGGCAGGGGTGGGGAGGGGGTGGGGCGAGGGAGCAGAGATGCGCAAGGGGAGCCCGAGAAGGAGGAGGGGGATGAGAGGGAGGAGGGGGAGGAGGGGGGGAGGAGGAGGAGGAGGAGGAGGAGGAGGAGGAGGAGGAGGAGGAGGAGGAGGAGGAGGAGGAGCAGCAGCAGCAGCAGCAGCAGCACCAGCAGCAGGCACGGGCGGACGGAGGAGAGCCTCCCCCATCTGCCTCGCGCTCCTCTGTCCTCCTCCCTCGCCTCCTGCCCTCGGTCGAGGCCACGGCCTCCGGCGCGACGCCTTTGACGGGCACGCGCGGGCTCCGTTCCGGGGCGCGCGCGACAGCGGGCGCTCGCTCGCTCGCTCGCCGCCGAGGCCGCCTCGCCAAAGGTTCCGCGCGGCGCGCCCTCGGCTGCGCGTGCTCAGCGCTGCGGGTGCTGGTCTGTCGCAGTCGTGCCCGCCTCTGCGGGCCCTCATCCTTCTGAGCATCTACCTTCTCCTCTCACCACCTTCTCCCCCCCCCCCCGTGCTCCGCCTCCTCCTCCGCCTCCTCCTCCTTCTGCCCCCCCTCCTCCTTCTGCCCGCCCCCACCATCCTCCAATTTATCCCCCTCCTCCGCCTCCTCCTAATCCTCCGCCTCCGCATCCTCCTCCTCCCCCTCCACTCATCGTCAGCATCATGATCACATCACCGTCATCGTGATCATCCTTTCTCCTCTGCCCCCTTCTTGGGGGGAGCAGCCGCATCAGCTGGGGATGGGGTATCGACCGAGGTGGCCTCCCTGTACTTTGCGGGGCCGACGGGGGTCGGCAAGTCGGAGTTGTGCAAGGCCCCCTTCAATTGGGGGGGAGGGTCTTGCCTTCATTTGTCGGCGAGGAAGCATGAGAGGAGGCGCAGCAGGAGGAGAAGATGCTATCTCATATCTTCCATCTCCATACTCTCCCCATCCTCCCTACCCACCCGCCTGGCGGAAGGAGCAGGACCAGGACCTGTTTTGGGTTGCAAGCACATCTCACGGACACACTGATTTCCTGGGCTTGCTTGGACGTGAAGACGGCTTTTGATTGCATGGACCATGGCGTCTTCAATGTGGCGTTGTGGTACCGCAGCGCTCATTCCCCGACGATCATGGGCATCATGAGTGAGTGGTCCTAGGTCGAGGCGCGTATGAATCTCCTAGGGCGCCGCCTCACATAATATGGCAGGTTCGTGCACGGCATATACACGAGGGAGTGGGCACACCGGGCGTATATTATCAATAGACATGGAGTTTCAATGATGTGATTATGTGACGGGCTGGCACCTACAAGGATTGGATACGATTGTGGAGCATGAGAGGGGTCCCGAAGCGCTATCCGTTGCGTCTTCTCGTGGTCGGGGATGGTCCGCCGGGAAAGCACCGCTTGGCCTGCTGGTCACCACGGGGGGGGGGCCAGGCTGGCCCCTGGGGAGAGCTTCTAGCATGAGAGTTCGGTGGGAGAGGCGAGGAGTCATGCGCGACTTCCCCATCCAACGCAGCGACTTCCTGGAATGGCGGAAGAGCTCCAGCATCCACGAAAAGAAATCGGACGCGCGAGACTCAGCATCAGCGGCGGTTGCCTATAGCATGCAGCGCGCGGAAGGACGGCATTGGGCACAAGAGCATGTGTTTTTCGGTCGGGCGCCCATGCTAGAAAAGTTACCAGCGCTGGGAGCATGGACCGCAATGTTCAGCTGATAGTTGATGGAAGGGCTGGCATGTTACTGGACAGTTGCTGCAAGGCTTGCGGGGCTGGGCAATTTGATGGCACCCGCACGGTCAAACCAATGTGTTGGCGGAGTGCACCTTATTGCTAGCAGACCAAGGCCAGCACGAAGAAGAGAATTATGCCGATTCCAGCGACACCACGCGTGCGATTCATCCACAACCGAGCATTGCAAGCGCATCACAAAGTAACCTGGAGAGAGGTTCACATGTGTACTGGCATGGGGCGGCAACTGCTGACGTTTAGCACGACTCTGTGTCCTGAGAATTCCTCTAACTCCCTCGCGCAGGATCCGGAAGTAGCTTGGGAAGGACACAGGCGCCAAGAAAGGCACCAGGAAGCCAGAAGACTAGTTGCGAGGACCGCACGGTCCGCGTGCGTGGCACGTGTCAGGGAGGCATCTAAAACACATGGGCAAGCACATGTGCTAGCAAGACTCCGCCCTCTGATTTCGCGGATGCTGATTTTCAAAGTACCAACCAATCGTTCGGCAGTTTGGTGTACGCTACGCGGTTAGACCTTGACCGAGCCGAAGGAACGCCCAGCGAAAACGCATATATTGCTTTTCGCTGACAACGAGCAGAAGCCCGTAAGATTCTAGGATACGCCAGTTGCCAAGTACCAGTAGGACAGGTGATGGGATTGATGTCTCTGCTTCTCTGCAGTTCAATGGCATTTACCAACGCGCTGTGTAAACGGGCCTCCCTGCACACACGCTCGGACAAGCCAACTTTCGATCGCATGGCCAACAGGCTTTACAGATTGCACGCGCTAGGTTGGCGAACGCCTAGGCCATCTGAGGGTCTGAGGATCCTACGCAGCGGATGCCAAAGAGATGCAGCAAGGCAGGTCATGCACGTGCCCTCCTCGACCGTGGGCAAGATGTCGTGTTGGAGCAAACTGCACGGTACGCACTCTAGTTGAACCCTACGAGCGCGAACATTGTGATCCAAATATTGAGCCAAGCGCAGCAGCTTCCGCATTCGTAGGCTTGTTCGGAGAAAGTGAGAGGACAAGCCGATGCGAGCTTGGGCACGCAGGAAGGATATACATTCGGACGTACGTCACAGTGGCCCAACTCGGGACGAGTGCCTCAGATCGGGCGCTTGTGCGGCTGGCTCGCGGATTAGTGCAGTGACCCAGGTCACCAGCGATCTGGACGTCACAACGGAATGGGTAATAACAGGAGGACCAGAGGGAAGGGGGAGGAGGAGGAGGAGGAACAGCAGCAGCAGAGAGCAGACAGGGAGAACCAGCAGCAAAGGACTGCTACAAGAGAGCGAGACGGGGAGAGCGGAGGAGAAAGGGGAGAGTGCGGTTCCCGTTCAGAACCAGTACACTTGCATAGAAAATCGTCCTTCTCTTACTCCTCCTCTCTCTGCGTCTGCCCCTCCAGGAGGGGCATTGGAATCGCGCGAGTTCGTTCGACTTCCCTCCGGGCGAATTGCCTTACCCCGTCCGCGGCCGCCGCCTATTCGCTGGATGCCAGATGCGGCCACCGATCCAAGAGAACGCCTTACCCTGGACTCCCTCCAAGCGCCGCACCGTGGCCCCTACGGCGGAAACGCGCGGGTGGCATATACCCACTCTGGTTACGTAGCGCGCCACTGATTCTCCTCAGGTCACTCCCTGGTCCTCGAGCACCTCGGCGCAAGTGTGACCCGAAAGGAGATGCAGTAGACACATCAAAGCAGAAGCCGGCCTGCCAGCAGGTACACCACAGAAGTTTGTTATCCCCCGATGGCCCCAGGGGCCCACAGAAGCCCTGGGGCACCTCAGAGAGCTCGAAGCCCGACGCATAGCGTGCCCCTAGATTTGTCATCGCACGATCTCTTATAGTGCGTGCCCCCCCGAGGAACAGAAAAAACGGAACAAACCTTACACGACAGAGGAGCCCCACAGACCTAATGTTGCAGCCTCCGTGCACCACCAGTACCACGCATATGTTCATTACGCCCCCCGTGAGCACAGATCTCTCTAATCGCCCTACCTCTGCTACTACGACGACGACGACGACGACGACGACGTTTACTACTACTACTACTACTACTACTACTACTACTACTACTTCTACTACTACTACTACTACTACTACTACTACTACTGCTACTACTACTACTACTACTACTACTACTACCACTACCACTACGACTACCATTACGACCACGATCACTACTACTACTACTACTACTACTACTACTACTACTACTACTACTACTACTAGTACTACTACTAGTACTAGTACTACTACTACTGATATTACTACTACTACTACTACTACTACTACTACTACTGCTACTAC